GAAAAATATACGATGAACCTTTGTCTTTTCAGGCTCTGCTATTTGCCAATTCACTTAGTGGATCCGACCGCAACTGTCCAAAGTTTCGGATCATTTCACAGTCAAAGCAGAGCAAAACACAACCATGTCCGCTGAAACAAGGTCACATAAAAAATGAGGAGCTGATTTCAGTTAGCCTCCCACTGCTAGTTACGGTGCATTGTAATGCGCTTTTAATTGTTTTATTTAACAAACTCATTTCAACTCAAGTCAAGATCCCTTGGAAACAACCCCCGGTGTATACAAAGTGCTGGGCACGAAGCAAGAATAATTCATTCAACAAACCAACAATAAAACAATAAATAACAAAGACAGTAGAAAGTGCAAAACCAGTCGAACTAAAGATCAAAACTCATGCGGTGTCAAAAGCCAAAGGAAAAAAAAAAAGAGTTTGAAGACGAGTTTGAAAGGGGGGCTCGCCTAACGTTCATTCCAAAGAGAGGGAGCGCCGACTGAAACGGCTCAGTGCTCTCGGAGCTTCCGCTTAGTACCTCCGAGGAGGAGCTCAGAGAGGTCAGGTGGGTAAGGTCATTTTGAAATAAAAAAAAAAATAATAATCATAATAATAATAATAGGAACTTCAAAAGAACTCTCAAGTGTTCCAGTGGAGGGATGCCAGAGTAGGAGTGATATGCTCCCTCTTATGAGAAGCAGTCAAGAGGCGAGCGGCAGCATTCTGGAACAACTGGAGTCACCTCATGGAGGATTGCCTGACACCAAAGTCAAGTGTGCGACAGTAATCTCGCCGAGATGTGACAAAGACATGACAACGGTTAGCCGGCTACCAGCCAACTACTATGCTGAGCTCACAACAGCCAACTCTACGCTCTCATTTGGCTCCCACGTCACTCACCGGACCAGCCCTCGCCTTTTTGAAGCCCTTCACATTCATTGTCACTGACACAGCTGGGTACTTTCGGGGCATATATGCACTGTTAAAACATTTCTTTTTCTGTATGAGTGCCATCATCCATTTTTAAATGGATTCAAAAAAAAACTGTTTTATACATACAAAAAAAAAAAAAAAAGGTTTCTCGGATTTGGCTGGGAGTGCAATGTAATGCATTCAGTGTGAAAACAGTTGAAACTGTCAAAGATAGTACAGTGGGGAGCACAAAATGTGCTGCTAAAAGCCATTTTTTTTTCTTTTCACACAAGCTGTCTCCAAGCTTTTTAATGGCCGGAACAACCGAGAGAGGATGCGGGGAGAGGGTTGACGTGGAGCCGCTAATTTGCCGGCTCGGGACGCGGAGCGTCGGATGCGCTTCTTTGCGTCCAAAGCAATTGTCATTGTTGCCTTCATTTGCCATCATTGGGAAAAGCTGCGACCGCCGTGCGCAGGCACGTTTTTGTCTGAATGGCGCGTGATCTACGGCGACCGCTTTTTTTACGCCACCGATGGCCCAGTCGACCTGAACGTACCGGCGTGTGAACGCGGCTTTCCCTCGCCAGTGTCTGTGAGACCCCACGCAGCGACCGTTCACGATTCATCACTCATCTCGCCGGCGCGTTTCCAACCAAGGTCGTCGTCGTCGTCTTTTTTTGTCTGTTTCCCGGGGCTCTCGCAGCCTTCATTCATCATTTGTGCGAGAGCCCCGTGCAGCCGTCGTGCTCCATTTCTTCGCACTATGCTATGTTTAGGCCTTGGTATGTGCTCGTTTTTACGGGTCCGGGAAATTCGAGAACATTGCTATGGATGTTTCAGTCAGAAAGAACGTGAATTTGGACGAGCGCGATGACCCAAACATCGTCTGATGTACTGAGTGAACGTGTCGGATTTGGAGGCCAGTCATCCAGAAGTGTATTTGCAAGGTCACAAACACACACACACACACCCCCCACACACACAGGATTTTCTGATGCATAAAATCGTCCGTTTGTTTTGTTCTAGCCACGCTCGTATTCGTTGGAGTGGATTTTTGCCAACAAATATCCCAGAGTCTGATACTTGCTGATCCAAATCGGGGCCCTTCATTGAAATTTGACACTTAGACCTTCAGCACCGAGAGAAAGTGTATGCTTTCACTGCCGTGACACATTTGAGTGTTTAGGAAAACAATGGTGCCGGTGTTTGCCCCTCAACGGTTTGTGCAAAACTTCCGTGTGTGTCCTGGGATTCGTTCCTCTACATCTACGGTCGTCATGATAAACTTGGCGTAGGTGGTGCCAGAGTCTGGCCCGACAAATCATCTGGGCCAGCTTCAGCCCCGGTTTCAAGCACGAGAGCTCGAGCCTATTTGGCCGAATGGAAAAAGAAACGAAGCGGTGTTAACCCGGGCACTGGCCCGGAACTAGCACGAGCACAAGCGCGGTGGAAAAGGGCCATGTGAGGGAGACGTGCTAACCACTCGCCCACCGTGTCCAATCTGGGTTCCTTAACGTCCACTCGATATCGTTTTTGCGAAGGCCCTTTCGCAATCAAGTCATCGCGCGTTGAAGGTTTCCTCACCGCGAGTGTTTTCAGATGCGGGCTTTCGTGCAGCCAGCGTGACCAAAGGCCCCAGACGGCAGTCGGGGGATTAGAGACGCTCTTGAAGCACCACAGGTTTCCCCCCTCACCACCTCTGCGTCTGATTACCATTGGCTGCTCATCTGCCCTTTGAATGTTTATCCACCTCATCTCTTCTAATCTGGTGTCATGTCACCCTAATCTCCTCCTCTGTCTTCTCAAGAAACCTGATCACAACTGAGGTTTTTTTTTTTTTTGGTGTCGTCTTGTCCTTGCTTGTTGTTTTGAGAGGAAAACAAAGTGATGCGAAAGGGACGGAGGCGGGGCACGTCCAGGCGTGGATCGATATGACACGATGTAGCGCTTGTGTGCGCGCATCTTATTGTGAGGGCGCTATCGGGGCTCATCATGTTGGTCATTAGCCAGCGCGTCTGTTGATTCGGGGGATTTAGCAGATGTAGGAACGAGGAGGACGGCACACTCCATCGGGGATTTGAGGGGTCGGAAACAACGTCCGCCTTTGTCACGGGGAATAATTGTTTGGGTAGTACGGAGAGTGGCGGATGGGTTTGCAGGAGAACCTTGTGTTTGCACTCCCCGTAAGCCTCTTTGAGTTTTCTTCAAACGCGATTGTATACACTGAACAAAGATATTTCAATGACGCGCATTTGTTTGCGCTCCCTGAACCACTCCCAGCTGAACTCAAGGATATCAGACTTTTTCGACGCACTCCAAAAAAAAGTTTGTCGAAATCTATGCAGGGCGGGGAGGCGGGACTTATCAGCCGAGATAAAAAGGTGTGGGTTATCGAAGATGCTGATTCGACCGCATGATTATTGCACGAGTGTTGGTGAGGCCCGGCATGCGCCGAGATAATCGGGCGGTTTTCATCCTGATTTTGCCCCGTCCTGACCAAGGACACCAAACACCAAACTGTCATTATGTTAAGTAAACAGGCCAGACCCGAGATTTCAACACAGAGCCTTGACTGTAAGGCGCACACTCTTTATCGTACAGCTGGCATGGAGAAAAGAAAAAAAAAATCAAATAAATGAAAGTTAACTGACTTTGACCTTTTGAATTTCAAGTCAAAGCCAACTTAATCCGATGGCGGGAAATGGGGCCGCGCGCCCACCACTCGTTCCCACCAAGAGTTCTTTGTCCTTCATCCCGGCTGCGTCACAGGGGATCACACGAAATAACGTACGTTTCAAAAGGGGAAAATGAAAGAGGCGACACGAGGGAGCGATGCACGGCGGCGGCGGCGTAGGCGTCCGCGTGTCAGGGAGATTAAATACAACACACGAGAAAATGATGCCAAGTTCACTGTCATTATGTTAAGTAAACAGGCCAGACCCGAGATTTCAACACAGAGCCTTGACTGTAAGGCGCACACTCTTTATCGTGCAGCTGGCATGGAGGAAAAAAAAAAATCAAATAAATGAAAGTTAACTGACTTTGACCTTTTGAATTTCAAGTCAAAGCCAACTTAATCCGATGGCGGGAAATGGGGCCGCGCGCCCACCACTCGTTCCCACCAAGAGTTCTTTGTCCTTCATCCCAGCTGCGTCACCGGGGATCACACGAAATAACGTACGTTTCAAAAGGGGAAAATGAAAGAGGCGACACGAGGGAGCGATGCACAGCGGCGGCGGCGGCGGCGTAGGCGTCCGCGTGTCATTGAGATTAAATACAACACACGAGAAAATGATGCCAAGTTCCACCCCTTCGCCGTTATTTCCGTAGCCCACCTCCTCACCCGCCGCCCCCCCAGTGCAAGTTTAAAAATAGAACGCGTCTGAGGAGGAGGGGGCCCGCAAGGAAGGTGCGCAGGGACCGGCGAGAGCCGTATGCGCGTGGAGAATGCAATTTGAGATCATACAAATTGCCTTTTCTTTCAGCTCTCCACCCCCAGCTTCACCCGCGCCCGCCGCCCGCCGCCCCCACCTCAGCCACTCGCGACTCCTCATACGCGCCGGCGGCGTCCCTGAGCCAGTTGTGAGCCCGACGCCCGTAGTAACCACGCTGTGAGAAAATCAGCAGGATGGAATAAAAGAGGCAGTCCAAAAAGATCAGCGGGGTTTAGAGAGTGATAGATGAGGAGAGGAGAGCGCGCTGCAAAGCCAGCTCGGAGGGAACCAAGATCTCTTTTCAGATGGAAACCGACTGGATCTGTCACGGGGAGCGCGTTGCTTGCCGCTGATTGATACGGCCAGAGATTTGCCGCATTGGAAGCATTTTCCACTCGTGTTTCTCAATTGCTGATTTTTTTGCATTTCATTTTCATATCAAATCCATTTTCGGAGACGCTTGATCCCGACGAAGGGTCGCGAGCGTGCCGGGGCCCATGCCGGCCCTCTTCGGGCAGTCGGCGGGGGACACCCTGAACCGCTTGCCGGCCCATCGCAGGGCACACGTTGACAAACAACCATTCGCGCTCACACTCAAAACCTCGGGGAGCATTTGGTGAGGCGGGCAACAGTTACGTTTTCTTGGTTTTTGTCCGTTTCAGGAGCAGAGGGCTCAGCCGAAGCGGGTCAGAAGGAAACATCCACCTGCGACATTTGCCAGTTTGGGGCCGAGTGCGACGTGGACGCCGAGGATGTTTGGTAAGTTGCCAAATGGCTCCTCTTGATATTTGCTGACGCCCTGTCGGGTCAGCAACCACATCAGCAGATGACCGCATGAAGCTGCGGTCACGTGAAAAACTCTTTGCTCCCTTCCGGATTTCACACGTTCATGTTTCGGATGAGCAGACCAATTTTGAGGGCTGACGAAGACAACCCGAGTAAATCCAAATACAAAAAGAGGTTCCAAAATTGTTTTCATGAAGGAGTGATTTTTTTTTCCTTTTTTTTTTTAAAAGGAATTGTCCCCCTTTGTTGAATCTCAACTGTCACCGTTTGAAATACGGAGCTCAACGGTAATAAAAAAAAAAAAACTGACGCATGTTACACGATCTAAAGATATTCAAGAATGAAAGCGAAAGTAAAATATTTGATTCTGGAAAAAGGAAAAGGTCACAAATCCCCCCCCCCAAAAAAAAAACAAAAAACACAGCGCTTTTATCCTCAAATGTAGACAAACTCGGACAAATGGTGAACCAAAAAAAAACAAAACAAAACACTCTGAGAGTGCACAGAATGGCACAAAAGAACTCGGAACCGCATCCAAAAAACTGCAGACCTTGCTGACCTCAGCTACGGTCTCCCCCATATGAAAGAGGCCAAGATGGCCTCCAAGAGAGGGTTCCAAAGCTCACGAATACAATCATTTTGAAATGTGAATGTGAAAAACGCCATTAGCGGTTGGGAATTGAAGGACTGAAATATGCAAAAAAAAAAAATTAAAAATCATAATTTTGGAGCAGGTGCAAATACTTTTTCAAGCCACTGTCGTGTTGGTTTTTGGTTGAGCCTCCCAGCACGGTTCATGAATTCATCTTTCCTTCTTGTATATTTTAAGAATCATTTTTTTTCCTTTTCTTCAGACGATGCTTTCTATTTAGCTCCACAAATTTCGACGTCATTGGGAGTTTTGAAGTCCTCTTTGTCTTTTGCTCTCGCCGGGTGGCGATGACTCGCGCGTACGTGCTTAGCGCGCTAGCGTGACAGTGCGTTTGAGTCGCGCTTTTGCTGATGCCTCGTAGATTATCCGGTTCACAATTTGAGTGAGCGACAATTGTCCGTTTAGTTTTGTTTAGCGCTTCTTTCGTCTCTTCTTCCATCGTATTGCTCACTGCGAATCCCGATGTTTACTTTTTCATAAAGAGCCGTCTCCACGCGTGGCGTATTTGAAATAGTTTATAATATGGAAATAGCCTTGATCTGCCCGTGTCCCCCCCCCCCCACTTGACACTTGCGACTGTAATTTGAATGTCTTTGAAGGGTAAGCGGAGAGATGAGAAATGCTCATTTTTCAGCACACTCTTGCCACTGAACATCCGTTGAGGGTTGGTGCGCGCCTGACCATTTCATTTAACCTCAATTACTATTGCGGGGCGCGCAGAGAAAGCCGACTTTGCCTCATTCTGGAAATCCAATTACCATCCTTACAGGACTCGCCAATGTCAGGGCAAAATGAATTTGGCTCACACAAAGAAATGTAGTTCAATGGGGACGCGTCCATACATTGGGACTTCTTTGTTTTTGGCACAAAGCGCCTCGGGGCTCCGGGCGCAAAAGCCGCAACACTCGACCGGCTGAATGTTCGGCTTCAACGCTTGCCGGAAACAGACGGTACGACGACTCCACGTTGGCATTCGAAGTGGGGTACGGGCAGCAATTAAAATGCAACGGTTTGAATGCGGAAGAAAATCCGCACGTGCGTGCTAACTGCACGTGGAGCAGAAGTGGAATGAAGACTTCAAACCTTCATCACGAATACACGGATGGGGTAAAAAAAACAAACGATGACGAAAGCGCACGATCAATTGTACAGCCCACGCTGCTCTTCTCACGACTCGTGTTATAGTTAAGGCAAGGGAGGCTTGGAGAAGCTTCAAAAATGTTGGCGCGCGTGCACAAGTGCTTTGGTGGGTATCTTGAATTGAAACGTGCCCGCCAATTTGCCACAAATGGCAGCGGCCGAGTGTGCAGGCAAGCAACCGAGGATCCCGTTGAATGGGAGGCAAGGCGGGAGGAAAGCGGGATGCCGGGAAAACGTGTCCGAAACAAAACGAAATTTCATTCAAGTTAACCAAAACGCAATCGGAGACGGGCTTCCCTCAGTAGCGGAGGAGATAAACTACCGGTATGTCACTTTGAAACAGAAATTCATGCCACCGTCACATCTCGGCCGGATGACTGGAACGCACTTGACTTTGGAGTCAGTCGATCCTCCATTCAGCATCTCCAGTTGGTCCAAAATGCTGCTGCTCACTTCTTGACTGGTACTCGTAAAAAGAGGGAGCTCGTCACTCCTACTCCGGCATCTCTTCACTGGCTCATTTGAGAGTTTTTTTGAAGACCCCTGGCCCCACCTGACCTTCTCAAAGCTCCTCCGGCCCCGCCCAGTGCCTCAGGTCTGCGGAGCGGACACTATGAGAGGTACCGAGAACTTAGCGGAGGCTCGGAGGGGACGGAGCCTTTTGCTTTGCCGCTCTCTCTCTTTGGAATGAACGTTCGGGCCAGCCCCTTCGCCGCCCATCTTTCTAACTGGTCATTTTGATTCTTTGGCTTTGGGCCCGGCATGAGACTTGATTTGTAGTTTGACCTCATTCTACTGTTTTTCATGTGAATTCATTGTTTTATTGTTTGTTGTTGTATGGATTGTTTCACTCCATGTACTGCACTTTGTAAACAGTGCGGGTTGTTTTCAAGTGTTTGAGAAATACACTTGAGTTGAGATTTTCATTCCAATCCAAATCCGCTCGGGGTGATTTGGCACGCCGTGGCACTTCTACTCGAATTCGGAGGCATTTTTGGACCACTTCTTCCGTCTCAAAGTCTGTCTCAAAAAGGCCATGAGAGCGTGACTCCGATCGAATGGCCCGATGCGATGGAAAGACAATACGGCGCGGTAAAAATAACTGGAATGCTCGGGATCAAATGCGTCATGAGTCTGGTTGCATATACTGAGCAGACTCTCGCCAACGCAATCCACTAAATGCGCCGTTGGTTGAGAATTCACCAGGGTGCGCTGTCAAAATAAACAACAACAGCATATGGCGCACTCGGTTAGGTGCGAAAACGACCCCAATCGATCACGCATCGCTTTCAAACACGCCGCGGACACAAAACACAAATGTGTGACGTTAATACCTTTTTGTAATGCGGAAACAAGTACCCTTGATTTTCTCCGACGCGCCCCAAACCATCAGCCCGATGCATTGCGCCGAGAATATTTGTGGTGGATATTCAGACGGATGTTTTCGAGTTGAGAACCTGTCATTTTCATCAGGCATCCATCCGGCGTGCAAAAAAAAAACAAAAAAAAAAAAACTCATCTTGATTAAAATGACAGGTTCTTCCAATCAGACAGCAGCTGATTCCAATCATACCAGCTGCCAGTTAATCAATCCAGTGGAGAGCAATCGCCTTGATGCCAAAGAGGGGGAGCCCGCACCAAACGGTTTCCTGCGTCATTCCTGTTTTTCTCAAATCGATTCAAAACAATTAACAGTTGTAAAAGCTTTGAGCCACACGCACGCGTGACCAAGTGCCGGCAGAATCAAACTGTCCGGAGAAATCAACTGAGATTTGCGTGCGTGCGTGCGTGTTTGTGATCATGAGCGGGCGAGGTGTTATCAGAAAATGCATCCCAATTGTCGTTACGTGCCTCCCCAGTCGGAGTCCATCCGAGTCTACTTTCTGTTTTCTAAGACCAACTTGACTTGAATCGCAAGAGGGCTCAACATCAGACTCAGTAAGTGCGCTTTAGACCGTGGAGGCATCACGTCACTTCTCAGGCTGTGATAGAAATGCAAGCCCGGTCCAGTTTTCAAAACAGCGTACAATGGCACAAAGTTAAGGTCAGCTCTCCGCAGCTTCTCCGATTGATGATGATGGTCCCCCCCCCCCCGCGACCCCCAAAAACTAGTGAGACTTGTGTCAAATCATCTTCAGAAGGTATAGCAGGGATCAATCTTTGCTCCGCTTGATGGGTTGTCATGACCGCAGTGAGCAGTAGAGGAGCGAAACAGCCTGCAGGTGACCCATTTTTTTTCCCCGGTGCACCCGCAGACATTCGGGATGATTGGATTGCCTTCCCTCAGCAAAAGACGGCTGGCACCGCGACCCGATGCCAGATAAGCAGCCGTAAATGGATGGATGGATAGCCCGGGGGCCGCGTTTCTGACAACTCCTTTGCCCTACTTCTATAGTGGCTATATTTAGCGCCGTTGGTTTTTTCATCCCACTTGTGAAATGAACCCAAATTCAGGCCCGTTTTGACGAGACAAAGACACTGACGAATGCAACGTTGACAGTCCTCCGGTCAATTCCAATCACGCGCAAAATCTCGAGCCCGATCAAAGGAATCCGAGAAGAAACGAATCGGATGACATGATGATTATTATTAGAACATCGCAATTAAAGCCAAGGCTTGTTTGTCTATTTGTGCCTCGTGATTGATTGACTGAGAGCCGATCCGGTGTTGGAACGGGCCGCCATTGCATTCTGACGCTGTTGCAGGCGTTGTCCCATTTCCAGCTTTCGACTTTGATAGAATGGAGAATAGAATTCTCGTGGCAGGGTACAGTATTTTATTTTTTAACAATAGATGGAATAAGTAGCGCAGAAAAGAGAAGAAAAAGACGTCAGAGCGGAAAGAAGCTGATGTTGGCCATGCTAAAGTGAAGATATGAAATCCACACAAACGTAAAAGACGCTTTTCGTCGGGTTCTTTTGGTCCGCGTGAAGAACGGCCACACTGAAAGATTTTGTCTCACCGTCTGGAAGTCGGTTTGCTCCGACCAGGCCTCGGCACCAGCCCGCTATCCTTCCAACCGCTGTCAGTAGATCACTCCACTCCGGGGACGAGCCGTAACCAAAATGAGCAATTTACCTCGAGGATCAATAGTGTATCCTCCAAAAGCCATTTAGGTCCATTTGTGGCGCGAAACTGTAATTACGCACAGAGAGGCCGGCTTTTCCGGGAGGAGCCGTCG